CCCTACGACAGCCGTGGGCAAGGCGGCGGCCGCGGGGGCAATTTCCCGCCGGCCAACGTACCTGCAGGGCAGCTTGCCAGCGTCCCGCGGCCCTTTTTTCCGGCTCACCTGGCCATCGGGGGTGGAGATTCGTTCGGTGGCGAAAGCAGCTCGGGATGGTGGCAAACGTCGACGCCGGCACCCACGCCAAGCTGGGCCCCATCACCTTCCGAGGCGGGATACGGGTATGGGCTCGCGGCTCACGGGGGGAACCACAGCGGCGGTTCCTACGACAACGCCGGCGGGGGATTTGGCTTCGGCTATTTTTCCGAAGACGGCGGGCCGCACCAGCAGCAGGAGGCCAACGTAACATACTGCCCTTCTGCTGCAGGTCCTGACGCGTATCAGCCGAGAGTCTACAACGAGGCCTTCTACGTCTCGGAGCAGCCGGCGCCCTTCCCGCAGCAGCAGGCGAGCTTTGAGCAGCAGCAGCAGCAGCAGCACCACGGCGTACCTCAGGCGACCTCTTCCTCCTCCTCTCCCCCTCCAGATCCAGGCGACGTTCTACCTCCTGCTGGCGACGCCCCTCTTCGTCTCTTCATGGCACGAAGTGTGTGCCCTCGAGGCAAGTTTGATTCTTTTCTTGAGTCGGCGTTTGGTTGTAAGGCGTCTGACGTTTTCGTACCTGCTGTACCCGGTGTTGACCCTGAAATGCTTGCGAGTCACGAGAGGAATCACTGTTTTTCTGAGCAAGATTTGCATAGGGTTGCTTCTCCGAGTCTGTCTGCGATGTTCGAGAATTATGAGAAGGAGACCGATTTTCATGAGCCTGATGCGATTGTGCCCGCTGTGCCTGACGTGGTTGTGAGTGCTGAGTCTGATGGGATAATGAATGCTGTCCATGATGTGAGGGTGCCTTCTATGCCTGATGTGATCGCGACTGCTGAGCCTGATAAGATTGTGCCTGCTGCCTCTGATGTATCTGGAATGCTAATTGTAGCTCGTGTCACCAAGCGTCCCACAGTAGACAAAGCTTTTCGATGCCAACCGTACATGCCGAATCCGAAGGGTAGCGAGCAGTGGCAGGCCGATTCTGGAGCGAGCGCGATGATTTCAAACCAGATAGATCACATGTACGACATTCGCCACTTGGGCCAGGATGAACAATTTATTCAAATTGGAGACTCGGCTCTCATCAAGGTTGCAGCTGTAGGAAGCTTAGACCTTCGGTTCCACCAAATCGGAGCCGACGGGAAACAGGAAGACACAGACATTACTGTTCCAGAAGTTTTGTTTGTGCCCGGGTGTGGATTCAATCTTTTTTCGGTTTGGAAAGTTTCGCACAAGCATGAGGTCCGGATAAACCCGAGCGGAACTCAACTGCTGCACGGTAAACTACGATTCATCCGTGGCGTGTCAAGTGACTCCCTTTTCGCCTCCCGCCTTCCCCACAAAGATGTGTCTCAAGTGAATGTTGCGCGTGAGAGTTTTCTGGTGACGCCGGCCTCTACTGCCGAGAGTAGTGACCCCTCGAGAGAATGGGCCCATTCCTGCATGTCGAACATCTTTACGTATGCCCAGAGATCTGAAGTGTTGAATTGCCTTCTGGATTCGGATTTTGAACCCCCCCGCGTGACGGATGTTTCGGCAGAATCCTCTGCCAGGATGATAGATGTTTGGGAGAGTGCTGAGTGTGACCGTGCTTTGGCTGTGTTGGGCCCGGGTAAGACGCCTTTCCATGTCGCCAATGCAACAAAGGATATGGATATTAACACGTTCCACAACCGTGCCGGCCACTTGTCCGAACCAATCTTGAGGTTATCCGCAAAACAACACGGAATCACCCTCACGGGCACGATGGACAGCTGCCGGTGGTGCTTGCCGGCGCGGGGGACGAGGGCACCGGTGCCGAAGCAGGGGGGCGGATACCGCGGCAAGAGGGCGCCGAACGAACATGTTCCACATCGAGATGTGCGGCGGGTACACGGCGACCATCGGCGGCAACCACTACATGCTCTGCGGTGTGGACGCCGCCACGGGCTGGATCGTCTGCTATGCCATGCGGCGGAAGTCAGAGGCGTTGGCGGTCTTCAAACGCATGGTCGTGGACGCCGCCCACAAGGCTGGCACCGCGATCAAATGTGTCCGGGGCGACCGTGACGCCCTCTGGACCAGCGGCGACTTGAAGGAGTTCTGTGCCAGCATGGGGATCGCGATCGAGTACTCCCCTCCCGGCGTGCAGCAGTACAACGGCGTCGTCGAGAGCGCCATCCAGAGGTGCCTCAAGGTCGGCAAGGCTTCTCGCCGCGCTGCCCAAGAGATACTTGGCCCCGCTGGATTTTCTCGTATCCGCGGGCTGAGCATTCGGGGAGACGAGCTTTGGGCGGAGTCCGCAAAAGACGCCGCGGAGAAGCTGAACCAGTCTGCATCTCCTTCCAACGCAGGGGGTGCCTCGCCGCAGGAGCTCTACACCGGCAAGAAACGGCCCTTCCGTTTGGTACCGTTTTTCCAGTACGGTTTCATGTGGGAGCGGGCGGCGACCAAGCTGGACGACAGGGCCGTGCCGTGTTTTTTCCTGAATGGCGGCGACAACCACGCCGACATCACGGTCAAGGTGCTCAAGGAAAGGACCGCCCACGTCTGCTACTCATCGAATGTGACGTGGGCGGCGCTCCCGCCGTCGGGGGGGGGGGAGGGCATGCGCCATCACCCCCCTCCGCGGGGACTCTACCCACGCCCCAGCTGCCCTTCGAGATCGCCGCTTCGCCGCCAACTGCTGCCGCTCCACCGCCGCCCGCTGCTGCCGCCGCCGGGCCGTCGCCGTCGCCGCCGCCACCGGGGCCTGCGTCATGGCCTGCACCTTCGCCTGGTGCCGCCGTGTCGCCGCTCCCGTGGCCGCCTGTGACGGGGACCGCCGCCGGTCAACCGCCGCCCGCGTCGCCACCAACTGCTGCTGCTGCGGTGGCTGCATCGACGCCTGTGGCTGCTGCTGCTGCTGCTGCCCGCCGTGACCCATTCCGACAACGGCTGGTCTCCTCTGCCCGCCGCCCCGGCCCATGCCGGCAGCGACGAGGGCGTGCCTCGTCTCCTCTTCTCTCTCTCCAGACCTCCGCTCGTACCTCTGCTCGTGCTCAGCCGTCCTCAACGCCTCCTGCATTTGTGCACTCGACAACATGGGGTGAAACAGGACACGCTCTTTAATTCTCTCAAACTCTGGCAAAAAAACCCGAGCGATGTGCTTGCACATGGACACCTCAGCACGATTATCACCGTATGACACCAGTCTCATCCAAAGCGCCTTAGCTCTACCGAAGAAGTCCATCAAACTTTCTCCATTTCTCTGACACAGCACATTCCACTGATCATCAAACGTCTGCCTCTCCTCGTTTTTACTGCGTCGGTAGTAGTCCAAGGAAATTTTGTACCCTGCTTGCGGGCTCTCCGCTGCGAGCAATTACCCTTGAATAGATTGTGCCGTGATCTTCGACAGCATGAAAATCCATACCTTCCTAGACTGCTTTACTCTCTCCTCACCAAACGAACGTTTCAGCCACTCCACATTAACTTGAGCTGCAGCTACAGGAATCTCTGGGCCTCTCATTGCGTCAACCACTCCCTCGTTCTCTATCCATGCTTCAAACACACTCGTGAAAATCCGCAACGCAACCTCCATCGATCGATTTTTGAGGAAATCATCACTCCAAACAGGGACCTCGACTTTCTCCCGCTGTTTCAACTCTACGGTGTGGGCGCTAGACGTGCCTGAATGGGCACGATGCCCCTGGTCCTGGGAGTTTGCCGTGAAAGCATGCTTGAGAAGGTCGACCAGCTGACGCATCGAGTCTTGCTGATCTCCCCCCGCCGCCGCTCTCCCTCCCAGATTGTCTTGTTCTTCTGCATCGGCGGTGAACGAATAGTTGGTTCCTCCATCGCCGATGCCTTCTCCCGGGGAAGGGTCACCATGACCTTGTCCCCCCGGAGGCTGTCGTCCGTCTCCATCCGGCATCTTGCGCGCGTAGACACAGCGGCCACTCCCTTGATCGAAACGCTAGCGTGTTGAGTAGCTTTGGGCGTGGGTGCCTCGGCGCGGGGTCCCGTAGTGGGAAACATAAGGTGCCAGCAGCTGGGCACTGCCAACGGTCAAAATGTAGAAACTATCTGCGGACGTGAAAGCCCTTCTACGTGGTGGAGCGTGGAAGCTCGTGTATAATATAGTTGTGGCGTGGAAGCCGGGTGGCGTGGAAGCCCTGACGTAAAGGTATATGTAGGGACGTGGGAGTCCTGAAGGCGTGGAAGCCGGGTTGGCGTGATAGCCGGAGTATGGGCGTGGAAGCCGGGGTTGGCGTGAGAGCCGGAAAAAGGACTTGATTATACACAGAAAAAGGAAGTGAGGAACCACAAGCCACGCACACAAATTCCGTTGTAGACACCCATACCCTCAAACCTGCAATTTGTGATAAAGTTGGTACCACCAAATCTAATCCATAGCAACCTTTGAACCCCCAAACTCCCCGCTCCATCTGCTCGGGAAATTCTTGCTCGCAATAATCTGTTGATGCTGTGAGAACATCCAACACATGCTCTCTACTGTAGCATGCTCACAGACGGACGCTCTCCACCTATGAAACTACTATCTACGTTAAGGAGAGGAACTTCCCTACTGTCGACCGTCCCAAGGTATGATTTTCAATCGTTTCCAACATGTCGAGGCATATCGTCACATACATGTATGTCATCGTTTAGCCCTTCGACAAATACTCGCGAATCTCACAAACCAAACAATACACCCAACATCAATCTCAAGAGTTCGGGCACCTACAACAAGGAAGTCTGCAGTAAGTAGCCGACCCTCAGAATCCAACCACCACGAACAACATGAGGCAGCGCTAAACGTTTGGATACACCGGGGCATGATGACCGGGCCGCGGTTGGTTCCGTGTTCCATTAAGCAAGGCCCTAATAGGGTGCCCTGTGTGTGATAGGGGTGGCAGGAGCTCGAGGCTTTTCACCGGTCGGTCTGCCTAGGCATGCCTCGGGTGCTTTTCCTGGTGTTCGCAGAGAGCGGTGCAGCAGAGGTCAAGGAAAGGGTGCAGGAGTCATTCGTGATTCGTTTGGAAGTCGCCTTGGTTGCATGCCATTTGGTTCATGATGCGTACAGAGCTTGATCGAAGAACACTCAATGTCGCTCGTTAGATGGAATCGAAGGTAATTTCATATAGATAGGTGCAATACAAAATGCCCTTGCCCGTGGCTTTGTTCATTCGTGCACACATCAATCAGGGCTTTGCTGACCTGTGCCTTGTTGCGCAGCTCTGTATTCTTGTAGTACTCCATGAGCACATCGATGAGGATGGCCAGGTGCTCCTCGCCAGAGTCTGCCGCCGCCAAGATGCGGTCCCATCCTTCGAGCTGCGAGTCCATAACGTCACGGCGAAGTACCGATAAATCGTTCGGTTTTTGGACGCTGAGTAGGCTGGCTAACTCGGCAGGTGCATGCTACGAAAACAACACATATCAACGTTTGCGAACGCCTCCACCTTTCGGCGTGCTCACGTACTACTCCCCTGTTCCTCTTTCGTGCCCTCAAGCGTGACGACCTACGACATCCGTACGTGCTCGGGATCTGTTCTCCATGGCACCGGCCTCCAACAATGATGCAAATACATAGTATGTAGTCTTCATGTATTTCGTATTAGTAAATCTTCGGATGCACCGTGAACATCAGTGTGTTCCATCTACGACCAGAAACTCAGCTTTCAGGACCAATATCATCTTCAGGAGCAGGGTTATCCCTAGCGACAACCGAGCCCGTATGTACATGGCCAGCTTCTTGTAGCGTGCGTCTTTCCTCACCGATCGTATGCAGCGCGACAACCAGTAGCTCACCTTCTGAATTTTTTCGATGACTTTGGCCCAGTTGGCCAGGCTCTCGGGAGGGTTGTACATGCCTCCCCCCTCGATCGGGGGGGTACCGTTGACCTGTAACGTTGATGGGCCAAGTGCATGCGATTCTTCAAGGTGCACGGTGCTTCGGACAACCTGAAATAAGCACGATGACTTGAGAGAGAAGAGTCGGTCTCGCAAAACTACTCCGCTACCTCCTTGGCGACCAGGATCTTCCTCATATGAGACGGTACCGAGACAACACCGGAAAAGCGCATCAAAGCGTCTCACCCCGCAACGAAGGTGCGCCAGCACCACCGCGACCAAGGCGCAGACCACCGCACTTATCAGGACCAGAACGGACTTGCGACCGCGACCCTGAACCTTGTGAGCAACCCAGCGAGGAAGGCGCTTGATAGCGTCGACGGTAACCTCCGTTGTAGGCCTTGTCTGGAAATGAAGAAACACGAAGTTCTGGACATTAGAAAGAGATATCAATAGCTCCCCCGCTGGCCATTCAACCCATTACCCTTCCCTGGCGACGTAGAACCGCTTCTTGAGCGCAGATGATGCTATAGGAACCGTCTCAAGGATACTACACAACGGACGGCGATGTTTGCCATGGTTAAGTCCACACCACGTGAGAAAAAGCATGGCCGGTGAAACATTAACCTACACATTAGGGTCTCGTGAACTATGTAAGCGTGTACTGTCAGAGTTGGTCAACAAAGTGTCCACAATTTTTGGTTGCGCGACTTTCGTGTTCACGTGTGGCGATCTCACACGTTTGGTCTGGAGCGGAGCTGGCTCGACACATTCGTTTTTCCTGCCCGAGAATGATGTGTCGTTGGCACAGGCCGCGGTATCTATTGGTTCTCTCGTACTTGTTCGTTAAGTGTGTTTTCGTTAGTCAGGGTTCTGCTTCAGGAACACAACCGAAATATGTCCGTTGTTTCATTTCCCATCCGTTGTCTTCTCTGTATTCTTGGTTGTGTTTAGTCTAGGATGCCTTTTATGACATTTCTACAACAGCGTCAATTGAATCGGCGACGGTTATAGAGAAACGATTTGGTTCACGTGTAAGTGTAACCTTGAGCATGTACCAACTTTTTGGCTTCTACGACACTCCTCAAGATACGGGGATATCATTGTATCCGTTCACCTGCTCTTTAACGAAAGCTTTGTAGCGCGTCTTCATCTCCTTCTTCATGTCCTGGAACCCCACCTCCAGCAAAAGACATTGCAGGTAGGTGTTGTCGCTGTGCGCCGTTTCCATGACGTGGCAGGTGCCCCACGGGTACCTATCATTCGGCAACATTGTGTGTGTATGGAGTCGCGAACGTTTAGTCTAGCTGTGGTAGATTTGAGGTATGGCTCGTGCAAAGATCAAATGTCGGATGATTGTCTACAGTTCAGTCGACACAAACAATAGTGGCTGACTGGTTCAGTAGGTAATCTCCCAACCTTCGGAGGTTCGGTACCTGGGTTCGAAGCTCGGCGCAGTCACGCGAGCTGGGACTGTTCTCACAATATGCCCAAACAATGTGGAGATTGATGTTTTCGTGTGTGCACAATAATTTGTCTCCATGGTCGACGAGGGAAAGGAACCGCTGCATCCTTCTCGAAACGGGAATTCAGGCAAGCACCACAGAACAGAGGGGGAGCACAACACTCCTGTGGGGCCTTCCTCCTGTGTGACTTCCGGTCGTGCGTCCAGAAATTGTACCGAAAGGTGCAAGGGTCCATGTCGAGAAAAATTGGATGGCAGAAAAAAGAAAGTACTGGTGAGCACAAACCCCATGATCTGGTTATTTTTCCGTCGAGATGGTTACGCCCAGCGGTCACACGACCTACCTACGTGCGGGGCTACGGATACCCCGGTGGGACTCGTCCACCTTGCTCGAGATCACGGCGTAAGGGGGCGGCTGCCTTTCTCCCAGCCAGTTGGGTGGGTCAGTGGGTCCTAGGGCTCCCTTGCATTCATTCCATGACGTCTCTGATTGGGCCAGGGGACAGGGTCGGGCAAAAGGTCAGGGTAGTTAATACCGAGTAAAAAAGAGCAAACGCCGGGACAAAAAAACGCGAAATAGCTCCCCGTGCATTGGGCGATATTCTGCCGGTCAGGACGCGAATGGAAGAATCAAAACCAGGAACTACATGTGAAGAGGCACAAGATTGAGTTGCCGCTGGGCTGAGACAAGGCCGTTCTAGATCCACCCACCCGAGAACTGAAAAAACTTGAGCTGATCATCTTGAGCAGCAAGGTCGACGATGGCCGTCTTGAATTCTTTCATCTCGTCCACCGTCATGCTGTCGGATTTACCGATCACGGGGATTACGGCCACAGCCTGCGAAAGCAGGGTGGGCGCAATTTCACAATACGATGCCGCCCGCGACGACCAGACCACCGCGGCAACGTCAGGTCAATCCCCCTAAATCACGTACATATGCCATCGTACATGCAGACTAGAGGTCTCGTGATGACGACCGCGAGGTAACGGCAGCACAATAGTCCAGACACCATTCATCTGCTTGGCGACCACATCTCGACGATTGACTACTCTGCTGCGACAAAAGTACTTCGGCTGTACGACCTGATAGAAGAGATCGGTCAATCTATTGCCCTCACGGAGTGCCGACGGTACCTTGGAGAGCTGCTTCATGTACTCGATGTCGATGGGCTTGCATCGATGAGCAGCAATGAAGTATATGCTGCGATGGCACAACAGCAACGAGCGTTTAGTAGTCAAAACGTGGCCAAACCTAAACCAGCCGTGACACAACTACTGTAGCAGTAGCCGTAGCCAACCACGTTCCAGGTGTCTGAAACGATGCACGTTTGCGCGGCGGTGTGTCGGTTTTAGACGAGGATTATCTTCTACTGGCATCAGCTTTCTACTGGCATCAGCCTGTTTGACACACAAAGAGGAACGTTTGCGACATGAAACAGACGGGCTAGGGAGCGATCAGCAATTCAAGAATCATGGTTGTGTGCCGTGTTGTTAGGAACAGACCGTAGTACTTTTCTCACTAACCAGACGTCCGTCCTGCCGTCCTTCTCCGGTGTCTCGTTGCCCTTCATCACTTCCTCCAGGTAACTCTTGTTCCCGTTCATGACGTAATTCACCACCGGTTGGAAGCTTTGGCTGACATTCACATGGTCGCCGTACCCAGGGGTGTCCTGCAAAAACGAGGCAAGAAACCCGTCATGCGGTAATTCGTGTACTGTGATTTTTTCGCGGAGGTATGAACACGCTGGGTCGACGCGAATCGTCAATCGGTCGGGTGTTACCAAGATCCAACATACACTGTAAGAACATGTGGGCGTTATCGGAAACATTTGGAATTGTGGGTACATTGGTGAACTAGTGGATTCCTATGATTGTTATGCACGTCCAGTCCAATACCGACTGGTGGAAAAACGTACAAAACACCAAGCATACCCCTAACCAATTCATGAACATGAGGCCGCACCACCAAGAAGAACTTGTAGTCTTGTCCTCGTTCGGTTTTGTAATCAAACTCGCGTTCTTCGATGCGGAGCGTCTTGCCGTTGCCGAAAACGCCTCTGCCTGCCGCCTGGACCACGGTGGCAGCTTGGTCCATAGGATTTTCGCCTCGATTGAGATGCCGAAAAATATTGTTCAGGAAAGTAGTCTGGGCGTGGTGTGGATCGATCGGCAAACAATCATCAGGGGGTGGGGAGGGTTAACGCGGTTGACGCCCGAGAACGGCGGTGAGACGATGAGCACAATAGGTTGTGCTCACCACGGTTTCGAGAGAGGTGTGCCCATCTGTGGTATTGGATAGGCGCGCTTCGTTGAACGTATTTAGTACGGGCGGGCGAAAGTAGAGGCCTCTGCGATACGCGTACCGAATAACCGTCACGTGCTGGTGCCTACGGATTTCAGAGAAGGCAGGTGCAACGTTTACAGGGATGTGGCTGTGCCAGAAAAAACCCATGTCCTTCTCCGCGACTCGGGAAAGTACCTATTATCCTTCCATATGCACGCAAGGGTGCACATTCGAAGTCGCATAAGCAGCAGACTCTGAACGCTTCGACAAGTAGCTGTTTCGGCGCATCTTATTTGGTAACTTTCGCTGCAATCGTCAACTCTGGAGCCCCTCCTTTTACAGTTGAAGCAGACGCTCGTTCCGAAGAACAAAAGCAAGACATCAAGGGGGAAACCTGTTCGTCGCTCAAATAAACAAGACGGTACAGTATGCATCGCAGAGGGGCAATCCCGTTCGCCCAGAAAAGAACCTTCCATATAGAAATAAATAACTATAGTACTCAAACTTGCTCAACCCTGTCCAGCTCTATGAACTAGGGAGAAAAAATTCTTTGCCGTCTGAAAAACAGACCATGACGCATGAGGTGTGTGTTCGGCACAACTTTTCCTGCCCATGAAGCAATACTTGTACCACATGCAGTTATGCAAGGACACGGACGAGACAATACAAATACGCGGTTGATCTGCTCACGGCGGGCGTACAGCGCCATGAGGGCGAACTCATGCTGCCCACGGTAAAGCAGCGCCAATGCCAACAGGGCTCCGGACTTGCCTTGCCTAGCCCACTCTCGCCCGCCACCATGACTCGTAGCTGGTCCGGTGTTGGCCTTTGCTGTGGAGGTCCTGGTACCCGCACACTGGGTGCGTTCCCACCGTCTTTGGCTTGAGGATCGCCCACAACGGGGGAGGCCATGCAGGGGTCAGTTCCTACAGTTGTGTTAGGAGGCATCCTTGCAAATGAGTGAGTGCGGCTGGCATTGTAGCGGTGAGGTGACGAACGCTTGGTGCACGCACATTGATTCTTGACAGAGTATTGGTCGGCTAACGATGAACGATATTACACCGAGGCCGTCTACAGCATCTATCTGCTGGAGAAGAAGAGTGCGCGCGCGCAAGAGAGCGAGAGAGATAGAGAGAGAGGGAGAGGGAGAGGGAGAGAGAGAGAGAGAGAGAGAGAGAGAGAGAGAGAGAGAGAGAGAGAGAGAGAGAGAGAGAGAGAGAGAGAGAGAGAGAGAGAGAGAGAGAGAGAGAGAGAGAGAGAGAGAGAGAGAGAGAGAGAGAGAGAGAGAGAGAGAGAGAGAGAGAGAGAAAGATCAGAGTTGTATGTGGAGCTCCTTCCTGAACCAAGATTTTCGAGAAAGCTTACACAGAAATGGCGAATTCGTAGACCGCCGCTAACCGCCACATGACGCCTAATTGCGGCGCAAACTGTTCTATGCGGCGCAATTAGGTGTTGTACGTCCGTCCCGAGTTACGTGTAGCATAGTTACTCACTCTGTACTTACACAGACCTGCTGCCCGCCTGTTCATCATCAGTAGACTATTCCTACCTCGGTAAGGGTTGGCCCGTTGGCCCCAAAGTCTCCGCCCAATCTATGACACTCTACGTGTGTATCAAAGGAGAAATCAATGCACACTCCACACTAATCATTCATCTTTCATCTTCCAAGTCGAGTATGGACGATCCTAGTGATGTTCCACCGAGCAATCGCCACACCGCTGTCTCAGTCATTGCCCCTACAGCAGTGTTGGAGTCGCTCGGGTACATTCTGCTCACAATCATGAACTTCCCAATCGCCAGGTCGGATGGTTCCTTTGTTTCTCCAAGCCACCAAAATGGCCCGCGCAGACCCGGAGATCCTGTAAGCAGGCAAGCGCCGAACCAGCTACGAGTCATGGTCGCGGGCGAGAGTGGCCTCGGAAAGGTCAGTACCCGGTGGATGGGTATGAGAGTTTGTGAGTGCGATGTGCGTGTGTGCGTGGGAAAGTTGACCCCTTAGGCTATACTATGGTCTATGCCTCTCGTTGACGAAACGTCGCCACAACTAATGGCAACTGATTGGGATGTACACAGCATGTCCATATGCAGTACAACTACGAGTAGCCTCGCTCCAACTCCTTGGAGAGCCAAACTTATGTCTCCCTGCCTTTGGCAGGTACGTACACGTGAATTAGCACTACATGAAGGAGCACCAAGTTTTTGGTTTTCCCTCTTGCGCGAAACTGCGGAATACCTCTCGCGACTACACAGATCGGCGGGTACGTGTGGTGGCGACTCGGCGGAGATAGGGTGCAAATATCGCCCCTCTCTTTCGTTTCAGTTCAATGGATGTGATGTAGTGTGAATATTTAGTGCGAAAGAGCATGCTCTTGACCACTCCCCCCCTTGCCAGCAAACCGTTGTGACCGCTCGCCCCCGTCACCAAACCTGCTTTGATCGGTACTGTTTATTGCTCCTACAGACGACATTCCTGAACAACATATTCCGGCACCTCACCCAAGGCGAAAACCCCATGGACCAGGCTTCTGTCGTGCATGAGCAAACAGGAGGCATTTCCGGCCACAGCAAGACAATCAAGATCGCAGAACGCGAATTTGACCACACCAATTCTGACGGCCAGTGCTACAAGTTCTTTTTGGTGGTGCGGTTGTCAAAGCCGCGTATCACAATGCTGCCGATTGTAGTCGATTTCGCGGTTTGGCAACCACGGACAATCATTCACCACGGGTAGTCAAGCGAGTCCTACTACTGCAGAACGATATCCTACATCTGTATTGGTATAATCGATTGTGTCGTAGACTACGTGCTTCTGTCGCGGGTGTCGATATCCAACGATACCCACTACTGACGGTCATTCTTTGTTGGACGCAGTGCGCCGTCTCGATGGCCTCCTTTCAACTACGACGTGTACATCTCGGCAGGACACCCCTGGATATGGCGACCACGTGAACGTCCGCAAAAGCTTCCAACCAGTAGTCGATTTCATCTCCAGCGGGAGCAGGAGGTAAAGGGCTGAGATTTAAGGGGCAACGACACTCCGTCGGGGACGGCAGGACGGATGTTTGGTGAGTTGAGATCAGTTCACAGTCGGTCGCTCCACCAGCTGCTCTGCTCAGCATGCGAAATGATGCTAAAAAGTGTTTCTCATGCAAATCGGTTGAAAGGAGATTATGAAAATGATTGGTGATATGTGTTCAGCAGATTCACTACATACTAGATGTTCAAACAACGCCTGCATTAGTGATGTTTTCGCCTGAGCTGCAACCGAGCGGTCGTGTGCCCCTGGGCCAGGTGATTGCACGACCGTTTCTGACTCAAGATTTGTCCCGATCGTGTTCCGCCGGACCTACAGCGTGTACTTTATCGCAGCCCATCGGTGCAAGCCCATCGACATCGAATACATGAAGCAGCCCTCCAAGGTGCGGGACAGAAGAGTAACAGTTCGACTCTTGTGAGATATGACAGCCGAATCACCGCCAACACAGGAGTTAGATCGAACCGCTGGACAGGCCGTCACGAGTCTGGGTTGTTCACAATGTGCTGCCGTCGTGTGATGGCCGGTTTTGATCCTTCGCGAAGGCCACCAGTGCTTCGTGACATTTGCCACGAAGGCCTGGCCTTGCTCCACGGTCGGTGTTCGTAACCCAACGAGAGACGCAGTAAGTTGGTTCAGCTCCTCCCCGCCTTTTGCTCATCCCCGTTTTGCGCAGGTTGTTGCTGTGATTCCCGTGGTAGGGAAGTCCGACAGCATGACGGTGGACGAGATGATTAACTTCAAAGAAGACATCGCCTACTTTGCCGCCCAGGCTAATGGGCTCGGGTTCTTCAACTTTTCGGGTGGGTGTTTCCGACGCGGTGGTGCCTCCCTGGTGACACCACGAGCCAGATCTCCGACACCACGAGCCAGCTCTCCAGCCCCCTCGGAGGCTAGGGGTTAGGTACTTACGCCTTTTATACGTTTCCTGTTTTCAGTACGTGTCACTTTATGACTGATCAACAACAGAGCCACCCCGTTATGTGGATGGCTGATTAACAGCAGAGTCACGTTGATCCCTGTTCCGATGTTCAGCGATAATGTCGGGCAGAGCGGGCATGGAGAAAGTGCCTGGGAGCCCTGAATATCGCCGATGAGCCCATCTGGCTGGGCGAGAGGCGGCCACCGCCGTACGCAGTGATCTCGAGCCAGGTGGACGACCCCAACGGAACCGCTCATGCTCCCGATCCAGTACGCAGGTTGTATTGCTGTGGTCGAGCCCGTGATTGTCTGGCCTGTGCAACCAAAACTGACTTTTGGCGTTCAATCTATGTATTGCACAAATTTGGCACATATTGCTTTGTGTGGGTCACGGGCTGGGACCTATCACCTCCAGACAAAGTCCCCGTAACCCACCAAAGTCTAACGGCTTGTCTCGTCTCGTTTCGCACCAATGACTCTGGTCTCACAGATATCCGTGGGGTGACTGTCATGTCATGAGACCGGAGCACAGTGACAATACTTACCTTCAGTGTCTCCTTCTGGAGGTGGTGTTCCAGGACATGAAGGACGAGATGAGGAAGCGGTATGAAGCCTTCAGGAGGGAAGAGTTTTTGAGCCTGCTGAAGAAGTTGCAGCTACTGGAGTTGCTCGCAGTTGTCTTCCGGCAATCTTTGGAGGCTTCGTTTCACAACATCGGTATTTTCAATTAGGCATGAATGATCACCACCAAATGTTGTGGGTGCCTTGTTTAAAGTACTGAGTGACAATTGTTGGACACTACTTCAATCAATAGGTTTATCGACGGTCGAACAGAGCTATTGCAGCGAGGGAACAGGGGGGTCGACGTTTCTACAGTGCTAACATTGGTCACGTCTCAACTAGAGTGTGCATGTCGTTATACTCATCCTCCTCACTCCCCCTAACACTGCGTCATGGTCTTGCAGGCGAAGCCTCTGGTGAAAAAGATTGGAGAAAACATGCCAGAGTATCGTCGAACAGTTGCCGGCGGCAAGTTGTCGATTCTCGTTGTGGTGCTGACGGCGATATGCGCGTTGCTGGCGGGGAATGTGGCAAACCCTCAGGTATATGGGGTGCTATGTAGAGATCCGCCCGGTGTCGCGGGTGCATGCCTTGAGTGCAGCCTAGATGGCTGCTTCGTTAGATGTGGGTAACCTAGGGTCCGTGGCATAAAAATTGCCATCATGTACATGTAGCGGCGTTGGCATCTCCATTGCGACTTCATTCTCGGGTAGAGACACAGAACCTGAAGGTCGAAGATGTCGTTGCAACCCCTAATCGGTAAAATTAGACCATCCGACTAGTCAGCGCTGACTAGTCGGATGGTCTAATTTTACCGATAAAATGATATGCTCAGAGCTCGTTAGCACCCGGCCGGATCACATGGGCTTGAGGCTCTGTGGCTTAATCACTGGGATTGAGAGTAGGGATCTCCGGGGCGTACCCCTCGCCAGACGTTGCTGTTTGGTAAACAAATGATGATTATGTTGTAAGTGTACCACTGGGATTCCGTCAGTGATTCAATGGTCAAAGCGTTCATACACCAAGTTACACGCACGGGCTCGATTCCCAATGGTCCACTTTCGACAAAAACACCTTTTGTTTTACCAAATAGCAACGTCTGGTGAGGGGCAAGCCCCGGAGATCCCTAATCTCAACCCCAGTGATTAAGCCACAAAGCCTCAAGCCCATGTGATCCGGCGGGGTGCTAACGAGCTCTGAGCATATCTTTTAATCGGTAAAATT